GAACGTGGACACTTGCGGCAGGCGTCGTAGCGCGGCAGGCGTCAGCGCGCACAACCCCTCGCTTGCGGAGGCGGTGTTCGACGCAAACGCTGCGAAGCGCTCCGCGGAGCTCCACCACTTAGCCCGAAGCCGCTTTGGAGCTAGTTGATATCTCGTGCGAAATATGTTTTCTCGCATCGAACCAACTCGTCGAGCTCCAGCGAGCTCGGCGAGGTTGGTGGTTCCCATCACCCGTAGCTCAGTTGGTTAGAGCATCAGACTGTTAATCTGGGTGTCGACGGTTCGACCCCGTCCGGGTGAGCTTTGGTTTCGGCCGTGTGGTCTAGTGGTATGATTCTCGCTTAGGGTGCGAGAGGTCCCGGGTTCAATTCCCGGCGCGGCCCGTTTCATTTTTTTTTGCTTTTGTCACGCTTAGACGCCTCATGGATCTTCATTTTGCTCCAAGTTCGATTCCCGGTGCGGCCCGCCCCGTTTTCTTTTATCACCTCGTACTCGGCGTCGGCCGCCGGCCTTCTGGCCGCGATGAGTAGGGTATCGCTCCGGATCGCGCGGGATCGCTCGGGATCGCTCGGGATCGCTCGGGATCGCTCGGGATCGCGCCGGATCGCCGCCGGGATCCCGGTGGCACAGGCCTAATCTAGAGCGCATTAGAAGCAGCCCAAGAGCCAGCCCGTGCCGCAGCTCGCGCCGTCGTCGCTGCCCCCCAGCCCGACCATGGCGGGCCCGCTGCTCGTCTGGGAGTCCGGCGCGACGTTGTCCGTGCACGGCTTGACGGTGGCGCATTCCGGCTCCCGTCCCATCCAGTGTCGGTTGGCGGCGGCGACTTCAGGTCGTGCGCGAGCACGCTGGTTCGGCGCCCCCTGTGGCGGGAGACTGGCCTAAGGTAACTCATATATAACTAACTTAGCTGGAGGACCAAAGCTGAAAAGCAGCCATCCATGCCGAAACTCGGCTGTGGACGGGCTGCCAAGCACGACGCGCGCCGCGGCTCANACCTGGTCAACGACCCGAGAAACGCGCATTGGGGACACCCGCGACCGCTTCGAGACCCTCTCAGACACCCCTCGAGTGCCTCAGCCGCGTAGATCGTCCGCTGGGCCCGGCGCTGACCACGACGACCACTCGGAGCGCTCGACGCGCACCGCCGGGGCTGCCACGCGCGCGCGCGCGATGATGGA